TATGGTGAGGTTCTTTGTCAGGCACCCAGCATTGACTCTGCTCCACCTGACCCCACCTTCTGTCACCACTGAAAGCTTGAAAGAGGCTAAAGCTGGAAATTGTCGCCGGTCCCGCTGGTGCAGAAAATACTCTCTCCTGCTCTTTTCATTTGGAGAAGAGTAAACACAAGTCATCATCATGTTTTCTTTCTTTTTTCACATTTGAAAATACCTTTTACCTTACAGTCGGTCTCTTTCAGTCATTTTCACTTGTTGTGAGCTGCAATAGGAAATGAACACATTGATTATTTAAAAACTGATTTCAACACAATCAATTTTTCCAAAATATCCAGGAATAACATGTTTGATTTCATGTCATATTTTTATCCTGGTCATCCAATTCTAACTCAAGATCCAATTATCATCTTCTCCCTGAGCTTTCTGAAATTGTCCTCTCCAAAAGGAGCAAAATAAAATTTTAAAAATCAGTCATCAACGACAGATTTTACAGGAATAAAAGTACTTACTTGAAAATATACCTGAAGAACCATAGTTCAATTTTTTCATTATGGATAATGGCCGATGTTAAAATAATGAAGGCTACATTACATGATTATGATTCGTTACTGTTTTCTTCATTTTAAAGTTGCAGCTGATAAAGGTGGAGCTAACCTCAACTACTTTATATATTGCTGGATAGCTTCATCTATGATCATACATAATTCAATAATTTAGTAGTTGATTACATTTTTAAATATTTCAATTCTGCACTACAATCTACGAGTGACATAGATTCATTGAAGTTCAAAGTTGCATGAAATACAAAAACTGTGGTAAAGTACATGTACAATAATTGAGTAAATGTTATGTTTAGCCTCTGTCGAGGATATCATTAGGTCAAGTCTTATTTTAAGTGTGGTCCTAAGCTCCTGGAGTCTTCATTCTCCCTCACCTCAGTCTGCCCCTGTGGGAGGAAGCCATGGCACCAAACATCCACAGAGAAAAGGCCCCTGCCAATCCGGGACTCATATTTGTCCTCCTGCTGACGCTTGGGTAGAGTTGGCAAGCTTGCAATCAAGCGTCTCTCTCTCTCTCTCACAGACACACACATATAAATTCCACTCTGCATCAAGATCATATCATAAATATCCCACACAGCAGCTATCAGGTGTCTGTGGCTGGGGTTTCTGTGTCCACTAAGACTTTACAGCATGTTTGACCTATTCTGACTGTCGGTCAGGCGGCCTCGAGACGGCCAAGACTCCTCCACTATTCCAAATATCAAATACCAGCATTCCCGATAACCACCAGAACTGCTCTGTACAATGTACAAACTGAGACTACACACTGAGACTGTGTGTGTGTGTGTGTGTGTGTGTGTGTGTCGCCTGCATTATGGAGAGGAAATCATCACTATTCTGTAGTTTTGTGTTAAAATCTTGTGGAGTAGAAGGTTATTGGAGCGAGTTTGGCCATTGATGGCCCCCCATCTCTCCTCCACTTATTTCTTCTCTTTTTCATGTATAAATGGACGAAAAGTCGCCGCATATAATAATATATGTAACATTTAAACTATAAAAACTTTTATTTTGAAAATTATTTTAAAAATGGATATTTTGGAATTTTATTATTAAAGAATGAATTATTGAATTATTCATGTGTTTATTTATCATATATTGTGAGGTGTCCTGGGTGTCTAGAAAGGTGCTGTAAAAATAATAATGACAATAATAATAATAACAAAAACAACAATAATAATAATTATTATTCCTTCTTTCATTGATATGAAAAATAAACCAAAATTCAAGGGATTAAAAAGTTGCTTTTTAATAAAGATCTACATAGCATCCATAATTGGTGAATAATAAGTATTTTTAATGCAAACTAATGAAATTAGAGACACATGGACGAGCCTTAAAAAAAATTTAAACAAAGGAATTAGAGTCAAATGTAAAATAAATAATTTTAATTTTGAATAATAAATGGTCGCTTTATTTTTAAAAGCCTCAACTTTTATATGATTCCCATGACTCTAATGAAGACAGAAAATAAAAACAATCCTAGGATGATATTTACTGTTGATGCACACTTGGACATGAATCTGTGGGAAAGTACAAGACAACATCACATATAATTTTACTTGGAACAGTCAGTGCAATGGTCCAGAAAGCGAAACAAGTCGTAAAATTGGGGGGAAGGAAAAAGAACAGTTGAGGTTTGTTGGTGTTGTAACGTAGGAGAACATGGACATGACTTCCACACTGCCAAGAATCCATGATTTATGTAAGCCTACCATCTGCTGCCACAGAATACGTTGCACAACTACCAATGTGTCAGACTGGATATACAGTCACACACACGCACACATACACACACTGGTAGGAAGACGGATACCGATGACGAGCTCGCAGAGGCTCATATGTACGATGGATGAGGTGATGCAGTGAAGTCCACTGATCTTCTTACTCCCACTCTGAGTGACCTGAATGTACCCCAGACACACACACACACATACACACACACACACACACACACACACATACAAACCTGTGCACAAACACACACATGCACAAAGCAGCATCAAGCTGCAGCTGACAGCCATTCATTCACTTCACTGACATGTTCATTCTATATCTAAATGGTGAGGTTTCTCTGGATTGGAGCTCGCACAACACACACACACACACACACACACACACACTTTCCTTTTTCAATCCACCAGTTTTTTACTGTGTCACTGCTCACTTCTCTCTTTTTCAACATTTCTCTTCCCTATCCATGCAATAAGGAAGACAGATGACACACACACACACACACACACACACACACACACACAGACACATAAACATGGATAGCGACTTGACAAGTGACGTGCTTTCAGATGTGGTTTCTCCGCTCTGGTCCACCCGCCCCTACCAGGAAGAAAGTTTAAAAAAAGAGTGCCCTACCTCTCTGTGACACCTTGACCCTGTGCACACACACACACACAAATCAGCTAGAAGCAGGTTTGCTCTTACGGTGTGAAAGCCCTCTCTCATTAACCCAGAGGGCACCCCTAGCCTCCCATTGTGCCCCTATCTCCCGCAGCATTCTGGGTAAAGTAGTTTAACAATGTCAGCCTGATAAGCCCAATGCAAACCTGCTGATAAGGAGTCAAAGACTGCACTTAATGTCTGTGTGTTTTGAAGGCGTTGGTTGATTGAGGAGGCCGATGAGGATGTAAAAGCCCACCGGTGAGCAAAATGGCTAAATGTATGTGTGTGTGTGTGTGTGTGTGTGTGTTCAGACTAGACCGGCAGGCATTCTGTTTAATATCTTTGTAATAACAAGTTAAACTGCAGAAACAGCTAAAAACAGAAGACAAAAGCAAAGCAAACACACACTCGCACATGCTGGACAAAGGGCCTGGACTTGACTGTGTGTGTTTCGAACTATGTGGCCAAGGACCATTAGCAAAGTTATTCAAAAATAAAAGGTGAGTCAACTTTTCCTGTATTGACAAGTAAAGCAGGGAGCGGGCTGAAAAGAAGAAAAGAGAAAGAAACGGCGAAGGAGGGGCAGACGTTAAAAAACACGGTTCAGAGTAAAATAAAGTTTACGGCAGAAGTTCAAGGCGATGCCGTGCCCGGGCCCTCTCCCTCTGTGCGCTGCCACGAGGCAGCCGGACTGTAATTTGAGGTCAAAGGTAAATCCTCCATCCAGACATTAATGTTACAATAAGCTGCGTCACAAAGGCTCTGGTTACGCTGCGATAAAAAGGTGCTAATATGTCACAGGAAGTCTCAAATAAAAAGCAGTAAATTTGCGCACTTTGTCCCAGAAACTCCACACCCTGCGGGGGATAATCTCAACTGTTCTTCCCAGCTCTCACGTTACACACACTACACACACACCACACACACACCACACACACACACACACAGGCAAAGCAGCAAACTCATGGAAGTACAGGAATGCATTCACACAGCATGGATTAATATCATCGTGGCCTGAATGTTTTATTTTATGAGCAAGTTGCATTCACACACATGTACCCACACACTGAGGGTTTGCAATATTTGCAGGCCGAAAGCTGATACCCTGGCTTTGTTCTCTTAATGGTGCTGTTCTGTTTTTATTATTCTGAATACCTGACCCACCTGTACAGCCTGGGGAGACTTTATCCCGCCCGTCGTCTCTCATGAAAACGCTGCTAGATAAAGTTTCCCTTTCTCTCCCCATTCTTCCCTCCTTCTGTCGGCCACAGCTACAGTTTCAAATTGCTTCCTCCACTTGTGTTTTTCTTTTTTTCTTGTCCCCCCCTCCCTTCTCTGTCCTTACACGCTTTCTCCTGTGGTCCATTTTCTTACAGCGGACAAATGATCGGCACTGATGAACACAAGGCGGCATTCAGGAGACTCACAGGACAGAAAAAAACACAACCAGGATTTTTTTTTTATTTCATAAGAATCTTTTTTTAATGAAACACAAAAGGCAATAAAATTAAGATAAATAATTTTTTTCTTTTTGTACATGAGGAAATATTTTTTTCATATTTCCAAAGAATGACTGAAATTACATAATATATTTAGTAGGCTATCGCAAACGTACAAAGCAGGTTCCAGTGGGTCTAAAAAAAAGTTGGTTATGGTTACAAATGAATCCAGTGTTTCTTAAAGAAAATACAGCTTTTTTTTTTTTTAAATAATTCAATTAAAGACCCATTAAAGAAAGCATTCAAAATCGAGTTTCACATTAGGTTCCTTTTAAAGCTTTTGCTTTGCAGTGTAACAGCAACATTGTTGTTAAAAGTCAGTCAATGTCCTAAAAAAGAAAAAGGCATTCATGTTCTTCCCCCCTATACATCCTATACACCGACAACACACAGTCATCACAGGCTTGCATAAACAGTAAGACAATGGTAAACAAGGAAAACAAGCAAACGTAAAAACACACAAACACAGACATTTTTTTGGCAAAGCAGGAATAAAAGTGACGAAGAAGCATAATTTGTGATTTGATCCTTATCTTGTTTTTTTTTGTCTCTCACCATCGTCCCATTGATTGGCTCTGATTGTCCTTCACAGTCACGTGATGCCATTCTGGTTGCCATAGAGACCTCAAGTGCATCAGCTGGGCAGCACGCAGACAATGTTGCTGCAACGTTTCTCCGAGGGCTGTCATAGCAACGCTGAGTGAACATGAGCAGACACCGAGAGGAACGCTACTTCAAATACCTCGGTGATTGCAGGGGTCCCGGATTCAGATTTGATTGAACGTCATTTTTTATGTCTATTTTCATAAAATAATTTTCCTTCTAATGCGGTGAAGCGTAAACTCACAGGTGCTTTGGTATGTTTAGTTTTGATGCCAGATAAATATCTACATTTCATATAGGAAATACAGGATAAAATAGATAGAGAAGAACTAGATTCTTTCAGGATCTGAGAACAGCAGAAACTCAGTTTCTTTTCCAGTATTTGTGAAGAAAAAAGCTCCCAACAGGAAATGACCATTCTTAACCCAACAAAGCAAAATAATTAAAAAAGAAGGGATTTTGGACACATGTTTAAAAAGAGCCTTTTTCTGATTTCCTTATAAAAACATTTCCCAAACGCCCTTTCTACGTATTCATCCCTAAAGCAGGGCTTACAACCACTAAGTCTTCACATCAGTTGTACAAGTCCAAGCCTCCGATCCTGTTCAGTGCATCGAGAGAGAAACTTAACCCAACCTCCTCCCTCTGCCAGACCCTCCCAAACCCACCCACACACACCCTAAAAAAATCTAAATAAAATAATCTCTGCAAAAGAAAACAAAAAAGAACAAATATATATGTATACTATTTACAACATGTTATTTTATACAATAATGCTGTACAAACCATGCTCGCACGCTCGCTTAGCACGCACTCCAACACGCACCCACAGTTCAAATAAACAATCCAACTACCTGTACATGTGTCTTCGCACCTGAATCGGAGGATACGAGAGAGAGGTATTGACGTGTATGGCTTGACAGGAGAAAACAAAAATAATAAATGTTGGATGTTTCTGTCGGAAGGACTGAAAACTGCACTTTAAGTACTGTATGGATTAATATTCTGAGTATTAAAGACAGTGTGTCATGACGTCATCTTTGCTTGATGAGCACAGGAGTACACGTGCATGACCACACACACGCACACACATACAATACAAACACACGCACACTAAAGCACTATTTACTTAGAGCTCATTAAATGCCAAACAGGGTCAACACAGCCACTCTGCAAACACACACACACAAACATTTACACACAAGTCCGAACAACAGTGCTTTTTGGTCCTGTTGGGCATCTCCCACATTGTGTTATCGTTGTCATCAACATACTACCAGTATAAGACCATTACAACCATCCAAACCAGTGTGGTTTACAGTAAGTCTCCCCTTACCATACAGTCTCTCCTGCTCTCTGAGTCTGTCTTTGTCTCAGAAATCGAAAATCACCCACCACCCTCCCTCCAAGCTACTGTGCTCCAAAGTGCTCACGTCCATGGTTCCCGTTCTCTCGTTGCAGTAATCTTGACGCTGTGGCGAGATACTTTTGTTATTTCAGTCGCAGAGAGGGAAGGCTGACTCCGCCTGCAACAAGGAGCCTCAGTCCATGTCTGATAAAAAGGTTAAATCTGACATGGATCCGAATATTTACCGTCCAGAACAAACCGGACTCTTCTTAAGTGCCATCACTGCCGGACTTTAACCGGTGGGCTAGCTCCTTAGCTTACAAGGGACAGATGAATATACAGAGCTGAAACTCTTGTCTTGATTTCCCTCTGTCCCTTCCTGGAGGCAGCTGACTCCAGAGCCTGTGTCTCATATTTAGATTTCTCTCCATGGTTGCTGGATCTAGGAAACAATGGCCATGCCGTCTGCACTGATCAGCTGGCCAGTGGTTGGTTCATATGTTCCGGCCAGGTAGAAGAGGTCGTTCGCCGTGTTCCCCGTCTTGCGTTCACGCATCTGGTGATCATACTCTGCCTTGCTGACCACCTGGCAGCGATGGGAGATGGTCTGCACGTCATTCTCGTCCTCGTGACTTGACTGATACAGAGCATTCTGTTGTAGGGACAAAAATAAAAGCAGGTTGAAAAATCAACAAAATAAAATACTATCAACAATCAAAATGTTGCATTGACAATTTCAGAGGGAAAAGTGATTAGCTGAAAGATTATGATGTTTTTGTTCACCACACCTTTGTTGCCATTTCCCCTCCCACACAAGCCCTGCTGGATGTTACTGCTCAACCACGTGGCTCTTTTTTTAAGTTTTATCCAAACACACCAGTGTTGACATTACCAGAAATGTAGAATGCATGACTTCCTGTACACTAGAGATCCGCCCTGGGAATTACCCATCCTACACTGAGTATGTAGATCTGCAAATGTGACCAGTTTCAAGAACTAAGCAGAAGTACCACTACTATCAGATGGGAACAAGGAAAAAAAACAAAGCCCAGGTAACATATTCATATAAAAATGTCACATACACTGTTGCCCTGACCAGTCATGTTTTTTAAAAATTCTTCCTGGGTTTACCTTGCCATCACGGTGTCGCTTCCCCAGACGAGTCTCCTCCGGGTGGTAGAACCACTTGACCCTGACCACCATGCTGGAGCTCCACGACTCCCACAGGCTCTCCACCCGGCCCACGTAAGGCAGCTGTGGCCGACCAGGTGACAGGAACACGGCACAGTCCCCGACACGCACCGTCTCCTTGCCCCTCACGATGGCCTTGTAGAAAAGCTTGCGGGCTTTACCCTTCAGACCTCTTCTCTGTCCGGGGGGAAAGAGAATCAAAACAAGAGTCTCAGTCAACTTATTCAGTGTGGAAGGCTTATTTCAACACCAGCCTCATTTCAGAAATTAACTTGGGTTTTTGTTTGTTTTACTAAACCCAGTCTACCAAAATATAGAAGGATTTTATATGTTTTTCCAATCCAGAAAATAGCTTTAAACCAATAAATGTGTTCGGTTAACTTAATGTTGATTTGGATAGGGGTGCCAAACAGATTATATTCAGTGTTACTCCAGGAGGCCACACTAATAATTCACTTCCAACCTGATAAGGTAATACCACAGAAACTCACCTACAAGTCATGATCACAGCGACCATAACCTGAGAAACACGCCTACAATTCTGCTCCATCTTTTTGTTCATTGGGGGCATGTTCACACCAAACACATCAGCTTTTCTTTTCAGCTGCACATCCCAGACAACTGATGGAGTCGTGTTTACAAAACTAACAGCTTGGCGAATTGGAAACTTAGAGTGGCAGAGTTTTTTTTATTTCATTATCTCGGGATCTTGCCTTAATAATCAGAGATTAACTACACCAGGTAAGCCTGATAGTGTTGCCAGTGTGTGCAGAGTCTGAGGTTGAATAAGCTGTTCCCAAGTGAGATCATATACTCGTTCTTTGTATTTACTGTATGCAATCAAGGTGTGACACGGCAGAAACTGCAACAACAATCAGTAACCTATTTATGTCACGAGCTTCAGTAGGTTACTGATACCCAAGACAACCATTGTGCAACCAAGATAATGAAGTGTAATCATGAGAAAACACTGTCTGATTAGGTCAGGATTTCAATGTCAAAGGATTTAGTAACAATGACACTACAATAACAAGAAGAAGTAAGATACTGGAAAAACAAACATTTTTGTGATTCTTCCCAAATAGTTATTTCATCAAAATCTTGGTTATAGCGAAAACAACCATAGTAAACCAGAATGGCTCTCAGTAGAGAGCATACCTCCACCAAGCCCCAACAGTTCCCTTTTTAATTCAATCAAGCTGCACCAAGTTTCTCAAACTAGATATCAATCCATTAAGTATTGCTGATTTTTTTTCATTAATATCAATGAATTTTCTGGAAATAAGTAAATTTTGAAAATCTGACAATGTTAAAGTAAAAAATCCTGGATCCGCACCAAAATGTAATGGGTTCCTTCCTGACCCATATGGCATCCTTCCTCCAGGTTTCATTCAAATCTGTTCAGTTGTTTTTGTATCATTTTGTTCACAAACAAATGGATTGGGGTGAAAACATAACCTCCTTGGCTGAGGTAAATATAAAACAAATCATCTTACCTGTGTGGGGTTGCCAGACCATTTCCACAGCTGGCGCCCATGTAGCAGGGGAGCCATGTTGGGCAGAGGCTCAGGTGAAGACATCCTCTGCCTCTTTGTTGTGACCGGGTCCTTGGCAGCAGGTTTCGGCTGCTGGTTCACAGGACTGCTTTGGTTCTGATGGTGGCTGTTAGAAATTGCTTCTTTCCTCTTTAGATGGGTCTTTGCCGTGCTACTGTTAGCCGTCATACTTCCTTTTGACATGAACTCCTTCCTGCTTTCTGCTCTGTCAGCTCTCCCCTTCGACCCAGAGACGGCCATGTTGGCTTTGGCCACAAAGCCGTGAGCCGGGCCAGAGGCAGAGTTGGAGGTTGTAGGGTCAGGGTTTGGTTGGTCAGACTTCATGTTCTGCCTGTGTTTGTGTTTGTCCTGCTGGAGCAGTGCACGGCGCAGCAGCACAGAGGAGGACTCTTCGTCAGAGGAGTAGGAGGAATCGTTGTCTGAAGAGCAGAGGGACGATGAGGAGATAGAACCAGAGGAGGAAGAAGAGGAGGAAGATGAGGAGAAGCAAGCAGAGAGACGAGAGAGAAAACGACCACCACGGTGGGATGTCACTGGTGCACCTCTTCTACGTGCTTCAACACCTTGACCATCATCCTCATCTTCCTCATCCAGCTCAGAGTAGGAGCTGGGGCAGTCGCTTGGGTAGTCCAAATTGTAATCCCCACCTTGGACGCCTACAGCTGCTGACAGAAGATCCTTTCTTTGAGGTGGAGCCCCTTTTAGAAGAGCCTCAGATTGGGCCACAGCACCATCTCTTTCTCCTCTCGTCTTCTTGCCGTCCTTCACCAGCATGGATGGGTGGATGTATCGCAGTGGTGCTCCTCTTCCTCCGTTTCCTCCAAATCGAAGCAAGGCCTTGCCATTCTTTGTTTTAGGAGAGGTCACTCCTTCATGGTCCAGTTTCACCAGAAACTGTTTCCTGTCTCGTTCACTCACTGGCTTCCTACTCCCAGCTGCAATTGCTGTGGTGACAGCTGAGGAAGAAGAGGAGGAGTCATGGAGTCCCATGGAAGCAACTGTGGTGGCTGGGCGCCCACCTCCAGAGTTTCCACTGCTTCCAAACGCAGAGTAGCCATTCGCGATGCTACTGAATGAATCGACTACAAAAGGAGAGCCAAAGATACCTTTGACAGGGGCTGGGGCTACAAGAGGGTGAGAGGCAGGCCGATGAAACATTCCTATGTCTCGCTCTCGTATTTTTCTCTGTGTCTTTCGGGAGGTCCCATTGAAGAGGAAGAAGTCAACTGGAGGTCTTTTCCTGGGCATGGACCAACTCATCAAAGAGGTGGTATTTTTGGTTCCAGTGTCTGTTACTGACGTCACTGTGCTGGCAGTCTTAGGCACTGAGTGAATTTTCTTCGGTCTGCCAACTGAAAAAGGAGCCAGCAACGCAGAAGGGTTATAATCAATATGACCTGACAGGTCTTAAGATCACACTGAGATTAATTGTGGAACTGAGAGCTGTGGAGAAACTTAATATCTTTATCTGTTTGATCTTCACCTGGCCAGGTACGTTTCTACATATCCATTACTCAAACTGCTACAAACCTGGCAAACCTGTCCCTCCCCTCTGCCCCCACTGTCACCCTGAGTTTGTGATGAGTTACATGTATGTGGCTTAACCACACAAAGCACTACATTGACAGTTTATGAAATAATGCTTTGTGTGGAAATATGAGGGTGAGGGATAGGCAGCAAGGAAGGAATTTGAGTCTCTCCCCTCACAGGCAGCTGATAATTGCATGACAGGAGGAACTGTTAACTAGGGATTGTTTTAGGGGAATTTAGTATGGCCTAAAGAGCTGTGTGTCTGTATTTATTAGAAAGACTGCAACTGTCTCGGACTACTTATGTTAAATTCTAAATGATCCTCATTCCCTTAGCAGAGAGATAGCCAGTCTTTCCTACGGATCATAAACTCAAGATTGTGTAGTTGATGAAAAATTACAAATCTTTACAAAACAGTATGTTTTCTCCCTCACCTGGTCTTTTCTCCTGGGGTCTTCCTGCTGTCTCCTCATTGGCTGGTTTCTCTGAAGGCATGTCTTTTTTCTCCTGGGTGGAGCCTCGGCGACCGCGCCGACCAAGTGAGATCAGAAGTGCCGGAGAGGGTTCCGCACCTGACAGAGATGAGTTGTTTGATGATGGTTTTTATTTATTCTCTCATTATTATTTCTATCACCTCTACCATGGAGGTTATACCTCAACCGATTCACGCAAAACTTTGTGGAAAGATGCGGTATGGGTCGGGAAAGAGTTTCGGATCAGGGGGTGGAACCAGGATTTTTTTTTTACTTTCTATAACATTGTAAGATAGAACGTTATTCAACATTGATCTCTCAAAGAATAATTAATGGATCTTGATGAAAAATCAGACATGTTTTGGGGACTGATATCTATAAGTGTGTGCAATTTGGTGCAGATCCAAGTGAATCTAGCGATCTAGTAAATTTATAAAGGTTTCACAAAGTTGTACTTACAGTGGATTTGGTATCCGGGCGGCAGAAGTCTAATATTTGCGAGTGAGATCCTTCCTCTGTCTCCATCATCAAACTCCACCATCACACTGCCCTCCTTCTCCACCTCACCTGGACCTCCTAAAGCACAACACAGAACGGAAGACGTAAGCGGCAGCAAAATGTGTGAGTGTATTCACAAAGTGAGGCGGTTGGTGCATGTCGCCAACCTCGGTGGACATATCCAGGGTAAAGACAGCGAGATCGCTCGCTCCAGTAGGCACAAACTCGCGTCCCTGCCGTCAGGATGGCTTCAGTCTGGGGACGCACGTCTAACACCTGGGGGGGGGGGTCACAAAATTAAGTTGAAGCTATCCAGAACAGCACAGCTACCCATAAAACTACATGTAATAAATGCTATGGAGCCTCAAGTCTGAAACTCACTGCTTCCTGTAGTAGCTGCTCCAACGAGTAGATCCTGGGGCGATTACCTCGTTCTCCTTCGATGACAACACTGAATCTAAAATATCAACATATATATATATAATTTACCAATCTTTTTTTAAACCAACCCATTAGTTTTCAGGGTAATCTTTTGAAATCTTTGTGTTGTTTCATAGGTTATGTATCTATCTCCGAGGGTCTTACATGTCAGGCAGGTCCAGAGTTTGGACACAGGCGGCGTACAGCAACTCATCCTCCTTAGAGATCAGGATCTTTAGCCCGTCCACCAACATCTCTTTACTCAGCACACAGTTAGGAAGGGCTGCAGAGGGAAGGAGAGGTAGAAAGATATATGGATGGATGGAGAGGATAAAGGGTAAGGTCCACATAATGTGTAAGTGTGTTGAATAATTGCAACACCAAGTGAGGAGGAGAATCAAAGAGTGTGCGTGCGTGCAAAAGATCGAACATGCTTTTAAACCCTGCTGTGTGTGGGTAATTATAAATGATGTGTCACTGTTTATGCCTACCGGGTATTCTGCATGGCATGTTGGGAGGAAGGTGGATCAACTTCTTCTCCTTCGCTTCCTCCCCCTCCTCCTCCTCCTCCTCTTCCTCCTCTTCCTCCTCCTCTCCCTCAGAGAAGCTGCTCTCCTCATCCAAGCGAAAGCCGTCGTCAGCCGCAAAGCTCTGTAGGAGTCGGCTCACCGCGTGGCCCTTAACCTGCATGCATGGAAAAACAGGATGTGACGTCGGCGGGCAGAGAGCATGTGAAATCGCTCGATTGTACATCCAAAATTATCGAGAGTAAACAGGGTCTGCGAATGAATGAATAAAGTCGTCTCCAGTGCCACGTGATTGATGTGGTAAATCCAGCAGTGAAAAGCAACCGCAGGCACCAACGCCTCTTGTAATGTGATACTTCAATTAAGCCCACAGGATTTTTCATCTCGGCTCCCGTCGCTCACTTGAAGATCAGAGGTCACAGTCAGTAATAACTGCGGCTCTTGACCTGGTGGGACTTTATCGTATTGCTCGAGGACACTTCAGCAGGGTGGATGCCTGCTAATATAGAAGCTTGAACCTTAATTTGCATTCTCACTTCAAAAACACAACCCATCTCTAGACCAGTTCAAGCTAGTCTATCCAAAGATGACTGATGGCTGGCAATGAAAAGTTAACTCGCCCAACAGGTTTCTGCTTGTATTTAAACTTTCCAAAGAAAAGGCCATAATATTAGAGCCTTCAATCTGTGTGTGTGCATGTTAATTTGTGTGTGTGCGTGTGTGTGTGTGTGTGTTTGAGCATGTATGTGTTGTCTTTTGGAGTTTTCCACATCAGGATACCATATATTTAAGTGACAGTAGTTTCGTCACCAGAGGGCACGGGTGATTATTTCCCTTTAGAGCTTAAGGCATGAGTGTATGTGTGTTTACAGGAATGCATGGGTGTGTGTCAGGTTATGGCCAATGATTATCTTTATACGTCTCTGTTTGGTTTGCATTTATGTGTTTTTGGACATTCCCTCACGATGACTCAAACACTAAACAAACCTTGGGGCATTTCTCATTAAAACAAATGTGGGTGTCTCGCCAATGGCTGACTGCACTTTTACAACAGATCCGGGGGTGTGTCAACGCAGCAGGACACATGCAAACACACATCTTTAACAAGAACAAATAGATTTTTTTGTGACAGATTTACAGCTGATGATAAGCATCCCTCTTTAAGGAGGAAGCAGGGGTAATTTCAATGGATCTTCAAACAGGGTGTGGCTCACTTGAACGAGGAGGGAGTGAGTGTGAGGTGAGGGCTTTACCAAATCCCTCCCTGCCTCTTGGATTCTCAGCAGAAGGCCAAAGGGAGTGACCTTCTCTGAGTCACCTTTCCTCTTTTACTGACATTTCCAGTCAGCAACTGTCTGAACCTAATCCCTCTCCTGACCACTGCAGAGAAACCAGCATGTCCAGCTTTATCCTTCCTAACCTATCCTTATAACCGCAGATTTCCGGTGCAATGCTCCATCTATTGTTTCCAGATCACATTTTTCAGTCCGACTAATTTTTTTTAATCACACAAAACACAAACAGAACTTTTTGTAGGTACTTTTTGTCCCAACACCATTTTGATTAGTCTCTATTAACAACTCTCTGCATTTGAATGCAATAATTAAAAGCAGATAGCTGATGCATTTCTGTCCCTCCAGATTCTTAATGTTCACATGAGAGATAAACAGGAAGTATATAATTAACCCTAACCCTTGTCATGGTCTAAGGTTACACCTGACACTGCTAACTTCTGACCACAGTAATCTCTCACCTTCTCCAGAATGCCCTGTCCTGCTGAGGTCTTCTTCAAAGCTTCCTTGCTGCTCCTGTTTGCTTCCATCTGAGCTCCATGGTTCCCCCGGCCGTCCCCAAAGCTGCAGCCCACTGATGACACACCCCAGCGAAGCAGAGATGCTCTTTTACTCCTGTGGTGGTCGGGGCGTCTCCTCTCTGTGCTGGCAGGGCTTTGTCTTCTGGGTGCTGTCCTCTCGTCTGTACTGGACATGCCCTCCATGCCTGAGGTTGAAGGAAAATAATGAAAATCAGACCATAAAAGTCAATATCTACTATTAGATTAAACATAGTTAGACCTTTTGTTAAATACAAGGTCAAAATTGTATATGCTTTTGCCTTCTCCTGGTCTTTGAACCATAGACATAGATTAATTTAAACCACAAGTAAATCGAGATATCCTTCACTTCAATTCAAAAATTTTAAATTGTAAGGTTACATGGTTTTCATAGAAAAGCAACATTTGTAGAAATACATAAATAGATCTCACCTGAAGTCCCTGGCCTCTTACTCCTTGCTCTCTGGTTTGTCTGGAGCTTGGAGGATTGTGAGGACACCGGTGAAATCCCAGCAGGATTCGTGAGTGTTTCTTTAGAGCACGAGCCCATCTTGATGTCACCAGGTCCGTTGTCACTGTCGTAGCTGCCGTCCTCCTCGTCCTCTGTGGAATCACAACATCAGTATGATCAGTCAGGAAGCCTGGGGACTCACTTGACAGGATGTATTGACAGTAACCTTTCAATATTCCTCCAGCATAAAGTTCAGTTGGAGCGCCTGTGGCTAAAATGAAGCACAGCTTCAGTGCAGCTCAGCCACGATCCAGAGCATCGACTGACAGCAGCAGATCTCGATGCCAGCCCACATCAGTTAATATTCTCATACAATACGCTCTATTTAAACTGCTTTTACTTCATATTTCCTCACCTGCTCCCTGCCTCCACCCCAGCACCTCCTTCTCATGCTGTATCTGACTTAATCAATGTCCTGTGGTTGTCATTGATGCCTGCTCTGTTCTGTACCTGGGGGTCTTTAGATGCTGCTCTCCCTACCTAAGGTTGCATATATATGGACGTGGAAGGGCAGAGGGGTCCCACAGCAGAGATGTGCCTTCTGTGAGCAACTCATGTCAACACTGATGTTGAAATAATGTTTTAAACCTAAGGTCAATGGTGGGATTATTAGTGTCCATGTAAATGTGGTCAGTGATTTACTGGTGGATTTTGTCCTGCCTCCCAGCCTTATACCACTACCGCTCCGCAATAATGTTCCTTAACTGCAGTGATGAGCAGGAAATGTTCGCACATATGCACATATGTAGAACGCACGCACACACAGTGCACACACAGTGCACGCACACGCACACACACACACACACACACA